ATTAGGTTTAGGATTAGGTTTAGGATTAGGTTTAGGGGTTAATTTTAGGTTTAGGGTTTACAGCGTGCTTCTGTTTCCGCGCTGTTGTCGCCCTGTTGATGACGTCAGCTACGCGGTTTAGTCAGACGCGGTTTAGTCGAGCGTGGTTTTGTGGTGGAACCGCATCTTATATACTGAATACAGCATTTTTGGCCTCTTGAAACCCCGCCCCTTCACAAAAATAGACCTGCAGAGGGTTTGGGAGGCCTGCAAAGTGATCCTGGGGGCTGGGGAGGGCAAAAACGAATGAAAAATGGGCTATTTTTTGCTCGTTTCCCCTCCCCCCAGCTCCCAGGACCACTCTACAAGCCTCCTAAAGGCTATGCAAGTCCTTTTTTGGGCAAAAAAACAGCCTGTTTTCGCAAAAAAGCTGTTTTTTGCTCATTTCCAGTGCGTCTTATACTCAGAAAAATACGGTAATTTCTCAGACTGTTCATTTCTCACTTACTCGACACTCATAAATAACATTATAACTTAGGTTGTCTGCAGCTAAGTCTTATCAATTCCAGTGAGAATAAAGTCATCAGTAATTGCCCATTGATTTCGGTAGGGTGTAAATGCAAGTTCAAATCTGTCTTATATACATTTACACCCTTTTAACAGTGAGGTTAAGATCTCATGCCACACACAAGGGAGAAGACATTCAGGCCTGTGAATGGTAGCACTGATGTAAGATCATATATACTTGTCCCCCCAATATGCCAGGTATGCCAGTCTGCAACAACTACCTTATAGTCTGCTACATTCCTGAAATTGGCACTGCCAATTATCATTTTTTTTAATGTCTTCCGCATTCAACTTTTATTAGAACAAAACCTGGATCTGAATGTTATAGTTGGAGGCAGCTTGATCAGCATAGTGCAATGGAGTTTTTACTGAATTCCATAGCAAATTTAAATAATGCCTTGCCCTATTCTTGTACCCAAAATGGAAGTGGAACTATTTCCTTTTCTAATTAGGAAAAATTCTAGTTTTTAGCTAAACTATCAACTATGTTTTTCAGAGAATCTGGATTCTATATTTTTCCTTGTTGAAATCTTTTTTTTATATAGGAGAACGTTCTGTGATGTTACAGTAACATAACAATCAGGATTACAATCAGGATTACTGCTCTAAATGAAGTGCCATGTAGATTTATTATGTTGAAGGCATTGGTCATGCATTTTGTGATTCCAAAAGCCTATTTTTATTGCTTTACCCACTGTTGCTGCAGATGGATGAATGGGTGGATGGATGGATATAAAATTAATAGACTAATAGAGTTCAGGGTATCGATAACAAGTCTTATTTCACATTCCGTTTTATTTTCCTGCCATGTTAGATTAGTAAGAAACAGAGTTACTAAAATATATATCAGCCTTTAATGTTAAAGGAGAGGGGGAGAATTATTTTAACAATATAGTTAATGCATGGGTCTTGATACTTTCAGAGAATGAAGACAATGAGCTAATGAAAAAGAAAGAAAGTGACCTTCTTGAGCTACAGAAACTGCAGCAGAAATTGGACCAGCTCTCCCAATCATCTTCATGCCAGAAAGATGGGTTACAGCCAATTGCTCACCAGTCCTTGCTAAGCTCGACAGGGGTATATTTGCAATGTGATTTATTAGTATGCATGTGGTGGTGGGGTGCATTATAAATCAATATTCTCCAGATGGTACTTTTCAGTTTTGAACTACATTTCTTATCATCCATAGATAAGAACTGTAGGATGAAATGCAGCTCCCAGCACTTCTCATCATTGGCCATAGTGGCTACAGCTGCTATGAGACATAGCAACATCTGGACATATTGCTCCTGGAATTGAAAAAAGCCCTTGTGCCTAGTACCTACCTACCATTTTTTTCCGGAGTATAAGATGCACCTTTTTTCCTCTAAAAAGAGGCTGAAAATCTGGGTGCGTCTTATACATCGAATACAGCATTTTCTTTGCCTCCCGAAACCCCGCCCCTTAACAAAAATGGCTGTGCATACCCTTACGGAGGCTTTCAGAGAGTTCCTGGGGGCTGGGGAGGACAGAAATGAGCAAAAAATGGGGCTTTTTTGCCCCCCACAGCCCCCAGCAGCACTCTATAAGCCTCCATAAGGCTATGCATGTAATTTTTTTGATAAAAAATGGGCCCGTTTTCGCAAAAAAACAAACCATTTTTTGCTCGTTTTTTGGCCCCCCTTCCCCCAGGAGAACTCTGCCAACCCCCCCCCCCCCCAAGGCTAGTCATGCCTTTAAAAAAAGGGCCCGTTTTCATGAAAAACGGGACATTT